ATCTACGTATGTATGTACTTAAATTTTTATGAAAGTATTATTTCTCGTTTCTAATTTTCTATAAAACTATTTGCAGTCATTAACCAACAAATAAGTTGTCGAAAACAATAACTTAAGCAATGCTGTTATACGAATTAAAATTATTAGTATAGTAGCGACGAGATGTACGAGCATTTTTTTCTTAAGAGCTGCATACTGATTTAAGAAATTTGTTATAGAAGCAAATTTATTTTCTATTTATTGTGCGTAATTTTATATGAATTTTTAGTTTTTCTTGAGAGCCTTTACAAATAAAAACAAGTAAGAAAGTCTAAGTTCGGGCGGAGCCGAACATTAAATACCCGGCGCAAGTATTAAATATATGTTTTTTCACCCTTCCGAAACCTTCCGCTAGGTGGTAAGCCGAGTTGTAACAATTTTGAGTAAATTAGCGTCCTTCAATTTCGAAATATTGAAGTTTCAAGCATTTCTTAAATTTACCGTAGTTAACTTGTAACAAGTTAAGACCACCTACATTGCGTGAAACAGGATCGCCTAATACAAAATAGCCGATCCAACCCCCATAAATTATTCCCCAATAATCACCCATAAATTGCTCATAGTAATTGCCCATAAATTCTTCTTAATAATTGCTTACAAAATCATTCTAAAGAATTCTACCCGAAATATGATCACTCATAATTCGGCCAACTCAAATAAATTCCAAGCATTGCATTTCTTTAACCTACCCTACTCCGATCGCACGCCATAAATTACAATGCAATGTATTTATGCAAAGTCAAAACATTTTTCTGTAAGAAACAACTAAAAAGCAATTAATTTCGTAAGTCGCCTGAAATATGACTACTCATCATAATTCAGCCGCCTAAGTCATATCCACTTCAAAGCGGCACTCAGCTACGCTAAATGGTGACATAGCACAAACATCCACACAATGCTTGCGCAATATTAAAACGCTGAGCTAACAATGACAGAAATGGGTCATATGGGAAAATGCAACTTAAGTAAACAAACTATTTCCCAATTCGACAGTTACTCACCAATACAATCAATTATTTTCGAATATGGTGAAATGCTTTCACAAGAAACGCACACATAGAAATTAGGTCAACCGCAGTTGCAGCGCAGGCATAATTCTAGTATAAATAGTGAAAATTTTATATCTAAGTTTTTGAGTTGATATTTGACTTCAAATAAAGCGGACACGCTGTCCGATAGAAAAATTTTGGTTCCTTTTAATTTAAGGAACCGTAACTGGTACGACATCATGCACTAATCGCGCGCTGTGATGTTGATTAAAACGCAACATTTGAAAACACATTTACATGTATGGCTGTAGCTGAGTGTGCAAAGACGCTTGATACAATTGGTTGCTACCAAGAGCGCCCGGGTTCAATTACCATCAGACGGAACATAAAATAAAATTTGTTTCTTCTTAATTTTAATTTCGTATAACGAAAAAGCTTCTGTGCACTTCGCAACGACATATTTTATAACGTACATACTCAAATTTAAAACGAGGTGGGTTGGTGCTCTTTCATATGCGTATTTTTTTTAATTTAGCACGTTTTTTTTTATTCTAAAACTTTTTCCCTCAGTGTACTTATTGATATATAATGAACCAAATTGTACTTACTTTTTTCATATCCGGTAACCTCTGTAGATGCAAGCTGTCCATCACCAGCTTCAGCAACTTCTTATTAACCTCACTGGCTGCGAATTGCGAGTGAGTATTCTTATTAATGCTATCGGTGATAAAGGAATCGATTATTTTCATAGAGTTTCTAAGGGAGGCGCCATGAGATTTGACCAGCGTTGGGTTTTCAAGGACATCTAATGATTTCACAACATAGCCTTCACTGTAGGCATCGCGAACTGTGTCCTCATCGCCGTAAAAAATTTGCGAACGCATTTTTGCGTTATGTTGCTGTCTTTTTCTGATTTTCAGCATATGTCCGCGCACTCTTGAATAATGCTGCTCGTTATTGTTGGTAGTAGTGTTCAATTCGGTGCCGCCGCTAATTCGTAGATGTGTGTCAGTAAAATCTTCTGCGCTGCGCCTGATCCGGCGCCTCTGCCGTCCTGGGACTACACTGCGACTTATATGTACTGCTACTGATAATGCTGTTGTGTGTGCCGTTATTGTAGGGGTTCGTTGTGGCCAACCTCGTTTTGGCTGCTGGTTAAATAAGTCACTAATATATGATTTATCATAATTGAATTGACTATAATGTATCGGACTGTTGTCGCGCTTATAAGCGTTTTCTATTTTAGGTGCTTCCACAGTAATTTGGCTTAAATGTTGATCCAATGTGATATTGCGCTCGTGAGACCTACTCATTGAATACGATGCAGCGATGAATGGGGACTGGAGGAAACGTTTAGTGTTGTGCTGCGTGGTTTCCTGCCGATAGATGTCGCCATCTCTTTGATTTATGACCGTGATATCGGCAGCTTTCACTTTATTCGAGGTAGCTTGGTATTTTTTTATGTCATAGACACTTGTAAAATTATCCACTAGTGCACGCCACTGACTAACCCCCAAATCAACTTGCATGTCAACAATCGTTCGTTTTTGGTCAAGTTGCTGTTGTTGGTTTTGCGGTAACAGATTTTTTATTGAACGTTCACTACTATTAGTTCGTCTATCCTTTAAGATGGCACTTTCACCAATTTCGAGCGTCGATATCACACTCACTGGTATTGTTGTTTCTGTTGTATTTCTAAACGGCTGTATAGTGGACGTCTTTGTTGCTCCTCTTGAACCTAAATGTTGTCCATTCACATGATTCACCGTCAATGCCGATAATAGCAATGCTGCAAGTAAACATACATGTCGAATAAAGCCATAAGTTGCAGTCGATTTTGTCGTTGTAATTGTTGCTTTTTTAGTTAGCGCTATTAGTTTGCGTAATACTGTGATTGGGGTCGACAAAGCCGTAGTCCGCTCAGATCGGATGCTTGAAGTAACAGCCGCATCTAAAATTGTATTCTGCGTTAACTTTTCAGCCGAAGACATTGATTTTCTTTCGGCTGCTGTTGTGGTTGTCAATGCACGAGATGCGTTAAATGCCGTTGATGAGACTGTAGCTGTTGTTTTTGCTTGACTTTTTTCTGCTGCCACTGGCACTGACGCTGTTCTTTTTATTGATTCACTGCCACCTCTTCTTAGCTCGTGTCGTGCACTGACGCACACTTTTTGTTGTGGCAGGTAATAACTGTATGCTGTTTGCGACTTGACACTAGTAATATTTATCATGATTTGCGTTTGTCTATATTCGAGCACACACATGTAACTGTAGTTGGTGCCCTTGCAAAAGTCGGGGTCATCATCATCACAATTACCGCCATTGCCCAAACTGTGGCTGTGGTTAATACTTCGTCGGATATAGCCATTATGGTTGTGTTTGCTTTTAGCACTTTCCTTCCCTTGCAGTCTTTTATTTCCAACCCCAACACCAATGTGGTTACCACCGGCATCATCGTCGTGTAGGTACAGCACCTCAGCATTGACACCGTACAGCTGTAAGACTTTGATGACGAACGAATTGTGGCCAACATCTGGCCAGTTTAAGACAGTCGGTGCAGATAACATTGGTGGTCGCCTATGCGAAAGTGGCCACGGCTCAAACAATGACAGCGTGCATTGATTTTCACCCTTCAGCACCAGTCGCGACGCTAGCCGCATTATAATCACTATGCACTGATAGATGGGTGCTGGTGTTGCAGTATCCTCTGAAGCATTTTTCTCGCTACAATACATTAGTAGTTCCTTGATGAAATAGTCATTTTTGTGGTTGCACAGTCCTTCATATTCGCATTTAGCAATAATTTCACTTTGATGATATTTTTCCGAATACTCAGGTGAATATTTTTTTGCGTTTTGATCATTAGCGCCGTCCTATTTGTTCGGGTTATTGTTAATATGCCTTTAGGGCAGCCCGGATAATACACAACTCTAAGTTTGGACAACGACAGGTTTTATAAAGGTTTTAATAAGGTTTTTCTCATAGACTGTGCTCTTATAAGGGTTTTATAAGGTTCTGCATGAAGAGAAATTATTCTAGAAGGGACTTATAAGGCTCTGCATGTACACATATTTTTATAAGCCTCTTCCTCTATACTCTTTTCTCTTCAATTTCATGGATTGTTAAAATCCTCTACAATTTAAACTTTTAGATCACTATAAATTTCCTTCATTCAGAGCGATTAATCAAAATTTTTTTTGTGGAGTAATTAGTCAGCAATAAGCATAATTATACACCTATATAAATTTTCATGCTTAGAGCAATTTCGCATTCCCTTTTGGAAGTAGGATTTGTCTTCATAAAGATCGTGCACACTCTTCAGTCATAGCATTTCGGATTTCGCTAGATAAAAATATAATTTGTTTTTGAAGTTATATCCCTTAATTAGGCGCATGGGGCGAAGGCCTATTCAAATTGAAGAAACAAATGTCTTTGAGTGGTTGGAGCGCACTCGCGCTCCTTCTAGCTTCCTAACTCCCCGCGAGGTACGTACAATACTCACGGCCACAACATCGTCTTGTACACATGTGTCGCTACTATCTTAAGTCCTTACCCTGTGCGACCACTTACGTAACATTTTTTGGCGAAGGTAAGTTTTTATTTTTGTATCTAAGATTGAAGTCAAAGTTATAATTTTCTTTCTTAAAGTTAACTATAATAAAGAGCTTTAATATTTTTGACAATACACATTTCGTTTTATTTATTTAGTCACGGCTATAACATCGTCGCGTATACATGTGTCGCTACTCTCTTGAGTGCTGACCTCATGCGACCACTAACGCAACATTTTTTGTCGGAGGTAAGTTTTTACTTTATTTTTTTCAGTTTAAAGTCGAAATTATGTTTTTTAAGGTAAGCATAGCATTATGTTCCTGTTTCACGTGAAAAAGCTGTCAAATTGCATATAAAATTTCTTTCTGTGAAATAAGTGTGAAATTCCACAGCTTTTCCTCAGCAAAGTAGTACTCTGTTCACGCTGTGAAAAAGCTTGCAACATGTTGGCAACATGAAGCTAGCAACACAATTTTCATGGCAATTTAAAATACACATGCACATTTTAATTTTTGTGAAAACTGACAGTTTATATAATTTAAACGGGGGTTAAAGGTTTAAACCTTACCCCAACCGGTCGTAAAACTTTATTTCACGTACAAGGAAATTGCGAATGATTACTTATTATCATATGACTGGTTCGAACACCCCACGAGAATGGCTCGTTTTTAACAGTTTTATAAACATTTTAACACAAACCAATGTGATTGCAAATAAACAAAGAAGATCTAAAAAATTTCAAACACTAACAATTAGCGACCGCTATGATTAGCAGTGCGCGCTATCAATCCGCAGGCCCTGTGCTCAAGCCCACTTTCTGAACAACATCAAAATATAAAATAAACAAATAAGTTTTTTTCTAATAGCGGTCGCCCCTCGGCAGGCAGTAACAAAACCTCGGAGTGTATTTCTTCCATAAAAAACAGCTTCTCAAAAAAATTCAATCGCCGTTCGGAGTCGGCGTAATACTGTGGTCCCTCCTCTGTTGTGTGACAATATCAAGGCATAAACCACGAATCGGAGGAGAAGCTCGGCCATACACTAACATATTATATGCAGATCTAAAAGGTATGTTTGGCGGGTGTGCCTAGCTTATGTTCAATTTCAAACTTCTGTTTTGGTACTAAATCCCCTTTTTTTTGCTAAAAAGCTAAGGAAATTTTTGAAGTAAGTTAAACTGAATGAAAAAAGTATGACTCCTAAGAAAAATGTGAAAGACCATCATATGGAATTATTCATGGACGAAGGTAGAGGCGATTGCTTATTGTTGTCATATTAATTTTCTTATTCTTATGTTGCAAGCTTTTTCACAGCGTGAACAGAATACTACTTTTCTGAGGAAATGTTGTGGAATTTCACAAAAATTTTATATGCAATTTTACAGCCTTCTCACGTGAAACCGGAACAGAATACTATGCTTAAACATCTACATTTTGAATTGTGTGAAAACTGACAGTTTATAGAATTCAGTAGCGGCGAACACATAGGGCAAAGTAAAATAGCGAAATAGGCAAGAAAAGGCCCTATAAATTGCAAAAAAGGCAAAAGAAGGCACTAAAAAAGTCAAAAACAGAAAAATAATCAAAAAATTCATTTATTTTAGAAATTTTTATATTACAAGTAAAAAGAGAAAAACTATGAACTAGTTTCATTATATGAACAAATTTTACATTGAATCTGTGACTGTGTTCTCCTTTCGAGTTTTTAACACACAACACTTTAATCTCTATAGTTGTAGTAACATTGAACCGCAAGATGCATTTTGAAGTTTTCTGGCAGCATTTTCATTTCACGTGCGCTCGATGGCGCCCAATTTAAATATGGAACGTTTGAAACTTTCGAAAAAAGGCAACATCAAATGTGTATATATGGAATCAGGGAAAATTAAATCGTGGACATTCTTAATAGAATATCCTCTATCTCTTTAGCAGCAAAAAGGCAATTTCCATAAAATCCGTTTCCTGCTTATTATCATATGACGGGTTAGAACACTGACTGAGAATGGCTTGTTTGTACATATGATTTAAAGGGATGTGGAAAATTTAAAAATTTTCAAAAACTAACAATCAGCGAACGTTGTGTTGTGTTGGTTAGCAGTGCTCGCTACCATTCCACAGGGCCTAGGTTAAAGCCCAGTTTCCGACCAACATAAAAAAAAAGTTTTTTTCTAATAGCGGTCGCCCCTCGGCAGGCAATAGCAAAACCTCCGACTGTTTCTGCCATGAAAAACAGCTTCTCATAAAAATACAATCGCCATTCGGAGTCGGCGTAAAACTGTGGTCCCTCCTCTGTTGTGTGACAACATCAAGGCGCACGCCACGAATAGGAGGAGAAGCCCAGTCAAACACTAACATATTGTGTGCATATCGAAAAAGTACGTTTGGCGTGTGTGCCTAGCTTATGTTTAATTTTTACCTTCTGTTTTAGTACTAAGTCCACTTTTTTACCTTCCTTTTATTAGCTCGGCATGTAACTAAGTGATATTGATGTGCCTAAAAGATGCAGCGATTTCTATTCTCAAGTTATATACCTGATGACAGTACGAATGGCAATCATAATAGGGAGGTTTTAGTTTTTTAAACTATAATTTTTGCTAACTAACTAACACTAAGGAAATTTTTGAACTAAATAAACTGCATGGAAAATGTATGACTTCTAAAAAAATATTTGAATTAATTCCCTCAACTTTACATGATGTAGAAAACCTAAGAAATATAATAAAATAAGATATATTAAAACAGCCTCCAAAATTTTTTACAAACGACGCAAATCAGTTTGACTGGAAATTTGTTGTCTTTTTATTTTATTTTTACTTTACTTTTTGATGTGCCAAATTTCATGTTGAAAACAATGCTGGAAAAATTTCGCGGATGTGAACAGAATACTAACCTTAACAATTTTCTTTCTACACTTTTATTGGGGTCACTCGGGACCCCATGCGACTAATTAGGGCACCGAAATTGCGCATATGGAAACTGTGCATTTAGACATTATTTCGGTTCCCGCCGAAACTGTGCATGNCCCCCCCCCCCCCCTAACTTTCAAATTTTCCTTATATATATATAAAATAGTACCCTGAAATGCCAGCTTAATAGGGTCGAGCAAAAAAATTGGGGTATACTTTTTTCGATATAGAACAATCCTAGGGGGTGAGAGCATAACAATTCCGACTATACTGTGTTTGGACCACCCTATTGTGTACCCACGCCGCAGAAATACTGTGGTGATGTGGATGACGCACGGACTGTTTTAACTGAGAAGGCGACTGAAAATTTCACAAACAACAAAAATTACTAAGAATAACATAAATCAGCCATGGTCGAGTGGTTTGTGTGACATCAAGGCACACACCGCCAATCGGAGGAGAAGCTCGGCCAATCATTTTAAACTTTGCACAGGCGTACTAATATAACTGGTAATAGAAGCATTTTGTGTCCAATTTGTCGTCAAATTCTTCGACAATCGACGAAAGTATTTGTTTAACTTTTTCATGTTGCTTTTTTTTTGAATCTTTGAATTAATCAATTTTCATACACATGTACATTAGAGTGGTCCAAAAAAATAAAGTCAGAGTTTTAATGCCGGCACACCCTAGGATTGATCCATATCGAAAAAAATATACCCCAATTTTTTTTATTTTGAAATCAAAAAATATTTCGGGAGTGCTCAAAGCGTTCAAAGTTTTCCATGTATTTTATATGGGGAAAAAACAATTTTTCGTAGAAATGGTATAAAACTCTTGATAATCAGTATTTTTCGACCGTAAAACTATGGTTCTCTTCAGGAGACTAATATCCAATTGTTTATTTAACCATTTTTTATGATTAAAGATTTTTTTTTGTTCCCCCCCCCCCCCCATTGCATTTTCTAAGGGCTTTGGAGGACCTATAAAATATAGTTACCATGAAAAAATTGTTAAAGAAACAATTGAGTATTATTACTGGGAATCTCCTGAAGATAAGTAAAGTTTTCCGATCGAAAAATATTGATTTTCAAGAATTCTACACTATTTTTACGAAAAGATGTTTTTTCTCCATAAAAAATACATGGAAAACGTTGAGCGCTTTGAGCACTACCTAAATTATTTTTTATTTCAAAATAAAAAAATTAGGGTATATTTTTTTCGGTATATAACAATCCTAGGGGGTGGCGGCATTAAAAATCCGACCTTATTTTTTTATATACATTTTTGGACCACTTTAATGTACATACATACACACATATCGTCGTTTAAAGTACAAAACCGCGTATCGTCATTCTGCAAAACCTCGTAACTGACATTTGCTGCCAAAAATTGAATTTGCTCCATTCATCCTGAAATATGCTGGCCAGAAATGCGATTGCTTTATAAAAAAGATAACTATTTTGAAATATGAGTGTTTTTACTATCTAGAAAATAATTTATGCAACCTCACATACGCTGTTTTGTATTTTGTTGATACGCGATTTTGTCTTTTAAGCGACGATATGTATTAAACATATATATTAGAGTGGTTCATAAAAACACTCTTTTTGGAAATTTATAAACGCTACATCAAAATTTTGTTATTTGTGATAAAAAAAAGATACATGTTTTTTATTTTCAATAAAAGTTTTTCAAAGTTTTTTAGAGGTCGCGCTGGTCGGTATTTTATAAAAACACTGATCTTCCCAATTTTTTATTTTGATGACATGTTAAAATGCAGCTAGAAATGCGGTTTTTACATATAATTACTCTGATATTATTGGGGAACATTCCATTAATTACATACCTGCCTTGGACAGTTAAAAAGAGACTACTAAAATTAAAACGTTGATTCTGAACGATTTACGCATTGTAATGGGTTGGAACTTGTTACCAGGGGGTTTCTGGGGTTCCTAATTAGGAATATGAAGTCAGATTTTCAAAATTAAAAATGGTGGATCCAAAATTGCGATACATTTTTAGAAAAATTATTGGTTTTGTTCGAAACCTGGCACTCGGGAGCTTTAGGGGTCGCTGATTACGATTCTGAAGTCATTTTTTTTATTCTAAATGACGGATCCGATGTCGCGATCAAATTAAAAAAAAATATACTTAAATTAAAACGTTGATACTGGACGTTTTAAGCATTGTCAAGGGTTTAATCTCGCTTCCAGTGGGTTTCTCGAGTTGCTGATTACGAATCTGATGTCAGATTTTTAAAATTCCAAATGGTGCTCCAAAATGGCGACCAACTAAAAAAAAATGATTGGATTTGTTTGAAACTCTAAACCGCCATTTTGAATTTTGAAAATATGTCATCAGATTAGTAATCAGCAACCCCAGAAACACACTGGAAACGAGTTTCAAACCTTGACAATGCTTAAAACGTTCAGTATCAACGTTTTAATTTTAGTAATTTCTTTTTAAATTTGATCACCATATTGGATCCGTCATTTTGATTTGTGAAAAAATTGACTTCAGATTCAGGGGCTCCAAAAACTCCCGAGTGCCGGGTTTCGAACAAATGCAATCATTTTTTTTTAGTTAATCGCCATTTTGGATCCACCATTTTGAATTTTGAAAAACTGACTTCAGATTCTTAATTAGCAACCGCAAAACCCCTGGTAACAATTTCCAACCCATTACAATGCGTAAATCGTTCAGAATCAACGTTTTAATTTTAGTAGTATCTTTTCGAGAGCATATTTTCGGGAACTAGGCCCTTTTTAACTGTCCAGGATAGGTAAAAAAAACCTTTTTTTTCAAAATAAAAAAACACGATTCTCTTTTTTTATCACAAATAACAATAATTTGAGAGGAAATTCTGTAGAATTTCATTAGATTAAATATTTTGGTACATGAGGACTAGTAAATATTGAAAATGTCCTCTTAAAATTTTATCCTTGAAATTCCGCAATATTTGCTTTAGAAAAAATTATATCTTAAGGACTTTTTTCGACGAATTTCTTCCTTCTAACTTTATCAGGTTAAAAATTTACCTATTCGTCATTATGAATCCAACAAATTTTAATTCCTTAAATTCTAAGGTGATTTCCTCTTTCATTTGGTACCCATATTTTTATTTTACATTGCATTTAACTTTTGAAATAATTTTTGGAATTAATCATATCTTTGAAATTACAAAGTCCTTTAAAATAAATCCTGACGTCAGAGAGAAACAATAATAACGCCTATTTTAATAAAAAAGTAGATTTCAAACATATTTATTTATTATTTATTTTATGGTAGGAGAGATAGAAGCAATTTTTATACCCGAGCGCACTTGTGCACAAGGGTATTATAACTTTGTTCACATAACGGTTGTTTGTAACAGGCAAAACGAATCGAGATTGATATAGACAAATGTATACATAAATGATCCGAATAAAAAGAGAAATCGATTAAGCGGTGACTGTCTGTCCGTCCGTCCGTCCGTCCGTCCGTCCGTCCGCCTGTGCACACGATAACTCGAGTAAAAATTGAGATATCTTAACGAAACTTGGTACGTGAACTTCTTTTGGGCGTAGGACGGATGGTATTGAAAATGGGCGAAATCGGACAATAACCACGCCTACCTCCCATATAACGGTAATTTTAAAAAATACGAAAACTGCGACATTTTAGTTACTACTGAAGATAATTCANTTGAAATTTCAATATTTCGAAATTTAAGGACGCTAATTTACTTAAAATGTATACACCCCGGCTTATCATGTAGCGGTAGCTTTCGGAAAGGTGGAAAACATATATTTAATGCTTGCGCCGGGTATTTAATGTTCGGCTCCGCCCGAACTTAGACTTTCTTACTTGTTTCGATTTAAGTTGTTGAAAAGTAATGAATACCCAAATCCCGGGACTAATCCTCGATCTCGAAAATCCCGGGATCGTAAAAAGCGGAAAAATTAACATCCCTGGTATATACCCTGTCGGAAATTTCGTAGTCGACTACTAAAATAGCCAACTTTTGGCCATCTTATTACGGCTAAATTTTGTTTGGTTTCAAAGCCATGCAGGACTCAACCGAAGAAATATGTATGTGTAAAATTTTTGCTGACAATTTTCACTTTCAACAAAAACTTGTAATTGTGTTTCATTGAAAGCGAGAAGACTTGGATTTGAATTATATTATTTACAATAACAAAATAAATACACGCCATAAATATACATGCGTGTAAATTAGTGTGGTCTAAAATTACATGTGAAAAAGTAAGGCCCGAATTTTAATGTCGCCACCCCATACCGAAAAAAATATACCCCTATTTTTCATTCTGAAATAAAACAAGTAATTTTTAAGCCAAAAACAAAACCGACTTCAATTCGCATACAAAGATTTAGGATTATCGTTAATTCCTTCATGATGCGATGATCGGATTTAAACCAAGCTCATATGGGACCACCTGTGAGGTAACACCTTTTCTTTAAAAAAAAGAATTATAGAAATCGGTTGACCTGGTCCAAAGTTATGCATACATAGAGACAAAATATTTCCAGGAATTGATAACCTTTCTCCTTTTTTTTGAAGTCGGTTAAAAACAAATTAGGGAGTCTTCACAGCGCATCTATCTTTTTAAACTTATCGTAGGAACAAAAAAAATACTACCTGCCACAGTTGAATAGTTGCGGAACAATAGGCAACCCCTACCCCGAACTTATTACGCCGCTTTGACGGAGTATCTCAGTCGGAACTTGTCAGTTTGTGATAGTGCACGTTTTATTTTACGACATTCATTGTGAAACAGTTGCGTTCAAAAGTGATTATTATTATTGTGATCATTATACAATTAAAAATTGTTATGAAGTCTGAAGACACAGGTACATCTACATTTATTTTAAATAGTTTCGATTTAGCAAAATTTAATCTAAGTAATAATATCAGTAATCGGATATATTATATTTTTTAGTGATTATTTATTCATTACTTTGTAAACCGTAAGCTTTTAGTTATAATTCCACGCATTTCCACGTTACATTACTAGTTGCGTTCTATAGAATGGGGCTTTGATAGTATACTGCACAAAAATTAGCTTCCGATAGCTACCGATGAGCTTTTTATGACCAATAATTAAGATAGATCTAAAAAAAAATTCGTTTCCATACATATTTTGTTATTTTTAAGTATTTCCTTTGCTTTAGAGTCACCAGCTGGTTCCTGCTATAGAGTAGTAACTCGAAAATATTTATTTGATAAGATGCATCGACAAAATTCTATGAATTTTGAGAACAAAATAAAGTTTCTTCAAAATGATATATTATCATCTGACATCTTCTCCGATGAACAAATAAGAGATATAAAGCACAAATTTTCACAACTAAAAGCACAGTTTATACAAAGGTGGATAAAAGCCCGTGGAAAAGAAGAATTTTTTTTTAAGTAACGTAACATGGCTACAAGGAATATTTTCAATTCCCAAAGGTATGCAACAGCCGCGATCTGGTCGTGTTGAACAGGTTACTCCTAAGCTCTGATCCACTCATTAGTAGTTTCAGACCAAAGCCAAAAAAAGCAACCAAACCCTTTTCAAAGGAAGAAATCGATATGTTGCTGCCAGCTGAACCAACTAAGGATGACACGAAGTCTGGAGAGTCTTCAGAAGAGGAAGAAGGGTCCGATGAAGAATCTTGGCACTCATCGTCATCCTAAAATAGTTTTTAACACATATTTTGTTTTAGAATTCAATTACACGTTTATTATCCATTGCTTTACAAGATAAAATTGGTTATTTCCATTATTTTCTTTGTAACTTATATCTCAAGGAAGTCCATACGCATTTTAACAATAAAAACAAATTTTTGAGCAACATAAAAAAACAGATAATTTGTCTGTTATTCCCTTAGTTAAAGTTGAATTTCATTTTTAAACAGGTGGTAACCCTGCCACATGTTGTTTAGAAATGAAGCCTTTCAAAACCATCTCAATTGGTACCCATATTGTAGTAATTCAGTTAACTTAACTATATTTTAGTTTTTACCAGGTGGCAACTCTTTGCATGTACTAACCTATATATAAACATCGCCGAGACGAACATGCCCAGTTGGCATTTGCAAAAGGGCTTCTCAAACGAAGGCCTTCTCGTAGGGCTTCTCATAGGAGGCCTGTCAGCATGTTTCCTTTTGATGCCCTTCAAAAAACCCTTCCTGAGAAGCTGCATAGGCAGATTTTTGTGCTTGCAGTAAGGGTGGGTAACTCAGCAAATTTGTAGGAGTTGACTCAATGACTCCAACTCTCTTTCAGGAGTCAGCCCTTTCAACTAACTCATTTGACTCTTTGTATGTTACACTCATTCGTATCGTAGACTCGTTTTGAGGCATAAGTGCGGTATAGCGGCCGTTGAGATAAAATAAATATTTAAAGTGGGCGTGGTCAGCTCCCTTCTACTGATTTGAAAGGTGTACAATACTTTTGGTGCAAATTAATAGAGGTGGTGTTAGGGGAGGGTAAAGGTAAAATTTTAAATATTTTCATTTGTATTTCGAAAACTATTTCAAAATGTGGATATGGTTTGAAAGGTAATTGATATATCTTTTATTTGATATGCACATCTTTATATATCTTGCATACATATTTCGAGAAAAACTAAAAAAAAACGAAATTATAACCATTTTTTTTTATAAAAATGTACGTTTTTCTAAAAAAATACGTAACNAATACGTAATTAACAATATGCAAAAATACTATTTTTAAAAAGTGCATAAAAATACCTTTACTTTGATGTACGCTATGTTGCCAGAATTGAGATTTGACATAACACCCGTAATACAAAATGCATGTGGTGGTTGTTGTTGTATTCTAGCCGTCACCTTGTATAAATTCGCCTTGTGTAAAAACAAAATGCAAGACTTTGCCATGCTAAACACTGTGGCGAAGTGAGAGGGTTATACGGACAAATATGAGCCACTATGATTCAATTGCATCATGTGAGCCCTAGGACATCAACTGAGTTACTGAGTTACATTATTTTGGACAGGGAGTCTGAGCTACCGATTCACTTATGGTGTAGACAGTGTGCCAAGTAATGACAATATCCATATTTGACAATTCATACACGAACTGATGTGTTTGTGTTAGTTGTTTATTTCAATTAACCCTAAGATAACACATGTTTAAAAAAACACAGAAAAATTAAATGTCATTACTTGGCACACTGCAAGGCACACTGTATACACTGTGATGGAAAACAACTCAATAACTCAAATCTGAGTTGAGTTACCCACCTCTAGCTTGCAGTTGTGAAATTAAAGTGACGAATTGAGAAGAAATTGCAAAGATATTCACAAATAATATAAAAATTGCAAAAGTAATTAACATTCTGAAGGAATTTTGAAACAAAGAGGTAATTAACAATGTGTGAAAGGGGATGCAGCAAAAGAAATCTTAATCGAAAGATTAAGAAAGAAAAAGAGAAACTTGTGAATAAGTTGCGCCTGTGCCAGAGTGAGTTTTTAGGCAGTGATTCAGTGTGTGTTTCTGAGGAGCAATTCAGCAATATTGAATACAATCCTTTATGCTTTAGTGAAATGCCTGTTAGTGGAGATGTACCAGGTGAAGATGAGGGTAAAGTTGCTTTGCAAAATAAATTAGTTGAGGGGCTTCGCGAGTATAATCCCACCCGATCATGTGCAAATGCCTTGCTGAAAATACTTAACTCGGAGGTAGAGTTGTCAAACTATCGATAGTATCGATAGTTTCAATTTTTTTAGACTATCAATACTCATTGATAGTTTTTTCTTATACTATCAAAAATATCGATAGTTTAGTAGGACTATCGATCATCTCTACCAATTATTTTGAAATTGTTTGAATGAAAAATTTTGTTTTTTAGTGTGATGCCGACGTCATATTCAATTATGCTCGCATTTAGGCCAAAATACATACATATGTTAGTGGCNTAGGCAGTGATTCAGTGTGTGTTTCTGAGCAGCAATTCAGCAATGTTGAATGCAATCCTTTATGCTTTAGTGAAATGCCTGTTAGTGGAGATGTACCAGGTGAAGATGAGGGTAAAGTTGCTTTGCAAAACAAATTAGTTGAGTGGCTTCGCGAGTATAATCCCACCCGATCATGTGCAAATGCCTTGCTAAAAATACTTAACTCGGAGGGTTTGGCCGTTCCTATCGATATAAGAACGCTTTTAAGAAACAAAAACAGACCTTGCAGTTTAGTATTGAGAACTGTGTCACCGGGCAGCTATTGCCATTTAGGTTTAACAATGCAACTTAGGAAAATCCCGCATCATCTTTTACCAAAGGAAAATAAGATTATTTTTTATGTGGGTGTAGATGGACTACCACTTTTTAAAAGCAGTGCCCAAAGCTTGTGGCCCATAATTGGCAGATTTGTAAATATTGAAAGCATTCGAGTATTCTTAATAGGGTCTTATCTGGGTAAAGAAAAGCCATATAATGTCGATCTTTTTCTTCATGATTTTATTTTTTCTAGTTGAAGGAGTAGCAATAAAATGGAATCGTGATTAATGACAGACATTTTGAGGTCATCTTAAGGGCATTTATATGCGATGCGCCCGCTCGATCCTTCATGTATGACGTTGTCGGCCACAATGCACTCGTTGGATGCGCAAAATGCTATCAAAGAGGTACCAGAATAAACAATGTGACCGTCTTTAGCACATCCGTGGGGGATTTAAGGACAGATAGGGATTTTTCAGAAAGAAAACAAAAACATTTTCATAAAGCCTTTCATCAAAATAAGCAAAGCGAGCTAGAGATGATTGGAATTCAAATGGTCAAATGGCCAATTTCCGATTGGATCTTGGTGTTGTACGAAAGCTTATTGTCTCTATTTTAATGGGCAAAACAACAGAAAATCTTGGGGTTGCTCAAAAAATTTAATTTCGACAAAATTGGTTGCGTTGAGTCCATTCATTCCCAGGGAATTTCAGAGAAAACCTCGAGGTGTTCATGAAATTCGCAGATGGAAAGCAACTGAATTTCGACAATTCGTCCTATATACAGGATTAGTTGTGTTGAAAAATGTTGTGAGCGACGATATGTATTATCAGTACCTGCTAATTAGTGTAGCTTATCGATTACTTTCAACCCCTACAAACTTTAGTTTCAACTTGGATGCTGCTGATGAAATGCTCAAACTTTTTGTACAAAATTTTCCTTTTTTATTTGGCGAATCCAGTGTGACTTTCAATGTGCATAATTTGCTTCACCTGAGAAAGAGTGTAGAGAATATGGGTATTCTTCCAAATTTTAGAGCTTACGATTTCGAAAATTTTATGCAATAGCTCAAAAAGAGTATTCGAAGGCCTTCGAACATTTTACAGCAAGTGCATAACAAATTTATCGATACAGACCTCAAACAAAGATCAATTCCTACTGGCTTCAAAAGAAACAGAATAGGGAAAATTTTAAGCTTTCAAAATGATAAAATGTTCTTAAGCACAAAATTGCCAGATAATTTGTGTTGTATAAAGCCTTTTGGAGTTGTTAAAATTCTAAGCTTTTTAGAAGAAAATAGATTCGAAGGTGTGATTCTCACAAACCTAAATAACTTTTTTGAAATAAAATAACTTTTGGGTATATGTACAGGTGATATTTATGAAAGAAGCCTTAAAAAAGAAATCTTCATGTTAGATAATATACAATCTAAAATGATGTATTTATCAATAGATAATAGATATTTGCTGATTCCTCTTTTACATAGTTATAAAAAAATCTAAATTGTTAATAATTATTTACTAACTATATTTAGCTTTAAGACAATGTTGAAAAACACTTTCAAAAGGAAAGCATTTCAAGCTATAAATGTGACGGAAAACTCTTCGGAACCGCCCGTACAAGTTGATGAGCAAATTAACGGTAACTTATTCACTTAATAATTTATCTTTAAATCTGTAATAAATTCTATATGTTTCTCCTTTCAGGTTTAAAATCTAGAATAGACAAGCTCGAAGAAACAATAAATAAGCAGAACGAACTGATAATGGGAGAACTTGCTTCCATTAGTATTTGCCTTCGCCAACTTGTATCTCGCAAAGAAAATGACAACTTGAGGAAGATGTTTCCTATTGAGACGGAAGAGGAGTTAATAAATTTATAAAACATTGAAAATGTGGACGAGAATGAATTGGTAAGTAAAGGATTCATAAAATAGATAGGAGGCATGTATACAAGGAACGGAGAAAAGAAATAAGTTGATTCAAANGGATTCATAAAATAGATAGGAGGCATGTATACAAGGAACGGAGAAAACAAATAAGTTGATTCAATAAAATTTTACAACAACCTTTTTATTAAGAATTTGAAGAAAAATTATTAGTATGCAGTTTTATGGCCCTTTAAATTCTAGCTTAACATAGTGCAAGTTTCATGTAGCAAAGAATTTGCTTTGATTTTGGATATTTTTTTTCGCTGACAGTGTTACGTATTAGCCACTTGAAACTTGCACTTTATTAAGCTAATATTTACTTAGAGTTTTTCTGAAAATTCTGAATAAAAATCTTGTTAGGTTTACATTTTTTTTGTAATTTGTCTTTTAAGTTTGAAATTTGCACTTATATGGTTTTTGTTAGATAATGAGCTGTAGATAACGACCGATTTTGACTATTTTTCTTTTGTTCGTTTAATCTAATTAATTTTTTATCATATTAAAGTTCATTATAAAACGAAAACCATATAAATCTAAAAATTAAAAAAATGCAACAAAGTTACATCAAAGTTTTAAACTTCTTCATTAGAGTTTCTAAAAAAAATAGTCTATAAAATTTTAGTAAAACAAAGTACATGTTTGAGGTTGCTAAAAATCTCGTTAATTTTCGATAAATGTTTTTGCTGGCGAACATCATTTGTACGAAAGAAAATGCGTGACACTGACAGCAAACAAAAAAATTATCAAAATCAATGGGATGTTTGAGCAACTTCAAACTTGTACTTTATCATAGTAAAACTTAATAGGCTATAAAACTGCATACCAATTTTTTGTTTTTTAACTCTAAACAATTTTTATTTTTAATTTTAATTTTAGTAAGTAACTAATTTTTGATTTTCTTGGTGTTACAGATCGCTACTGTCGGCCGCGTTACAAAAAAAAGGAGGCCTAGCCAAAAATTTGCATCACCTGCTTGGACCTAATATAATACAAAGCTATAATTTTGATGGTTTTCAAAATAAGAAATCAGAAAGAGCATACAAAGATAAACAACATTTTTTACAGTATGTATGGTTATTGGTTTTTAATATCACTTAAATATTAATGCATCCTTTTAATTTGATTCCTATTGCAGAAGCGTGCGCAAGAAATATCACCACCCCTGATGAGTATAAATCGGAAATAAAGAGCGGTTTCAAGAAAGCCAAAAGTCGGATTTACAAGGAGAAGCATTTTCAAAATAAGAAATCAAACTAATCTTTGAAAATTTCCCTATAAAAACGCATACCTTAAAACTTTTACTTTTTAACTTTAACTTTTTTGGAAGTTTCAGAATGATTTTGTCCATAATTACAAAAATTACTGAATTGATCAATATATTTAATTAATCACTTTGAAAAATATCTGTATACATAAATATGTATTACGTATATGTAAGTAAGATGCATACAGTAACTCACATAATTGTTCACATGGTGATATTTTACAATATTTACCAAGGGTAATATATGCACCGGATTGTGGGTATGGTCTTGCATATGAATATTTCGGTGCATCTGCAAATACTGTTGTATTGTGTACATTTAGAACAATAAAATTTGCAAATGCACAAAAATATGGACATGCAAGACAATATGCACCGGATTGTGGTTATTGTTATAAAAATTTGTTTCCGATATTTTTTTATAAAAAGCTATTTTATACGATAACAAAAATCATCTTGATCCAATTTCAACCTTTGTTCACAATATTGGAAAATTAAACAAATTTTCATCTAAACTTTAAACTTTTTAACCATAATGTCTAGACCTTTTTTCGGTATGCAGTTTTATAGCCTATTTTATTTTAGTATAACAAGATACAAGTGCAAAAAAAAATTCCCAAGACGAAAATTTTACAAAATTTCCAAAATCAACAGTAATTCATAGGTACTTCAAACTTGCATCTTGGTATACTAAAATAAAATGGGCTATAAAACTGCATACCGAAAGAAAGTCTAAGCATTATGGTTAAAAAGTAGGAAGTTTAGATGAAAATTTGTCTAATTTTCGCAGATTGTAAATAAAGTTTGAAATTTGGATTACATGTTTTTTTATGTTATAAAATAAACTTTTATAAAAAAAAATCGGCAACAATTTATTATGAAAAATGTGGTAAATATTGTAAAAAATCACCATGCGATCAATTATGTGAGTTACGGTCTGTATTATTTAGTTGGAATAATTCTTTTGTATTTGAAATTTTTGAGTTCCAAATACGAAATTTAAATTACAATGACTTACATTGTGATCAGCTAAATGAAGAAGCAACGTTTTGATCAATTTTGGATATTTTTATTTTGTTTATTTAATATGTATTAGTTTTTATGAAAAACTACCTCATTCTATAACAAACATCATATAAATCCACATTTCAAACTTTGTTCAAAAATTATAAAAAATTGCAAAGTTTCAACTAAATTTTCAACTTTTTATTGAGATTTTTCAGAATTTTTTGGAGTATGTAACGGGTGATTTTTTAAGAGCTTGATAACGCATAAAATTTGCAAAATCTCATCGGTTCTTTATTTGAAACGTTAGATTGGTCCATGACATTTACTTTTTGAAGATAATTTCATTTAAATGTTGACCGCGGCTGCGTCTTAGGTGGTCCATTCGGAAAGTCCAATTTTGGGCAACTTTTTCGAGCATTTCGGCCGGAATAGCCCGAATTTCTTCGGAAATGTTGTCTTCCAAAGCTGGAATAGTTGCTGGCTTATTTCTGTA